ATACTTTCAAGCCTAAACAACAAGAAAGGAGATTTAATCCGTGAAACAGAGAGCAGCCAACAAGCTCTAAGTGATGTCCAGGTGTTAGAAAGACAATTTACTTGTTGGTAGAATTGCCTTTTTAAGGTTTAGGGCTTGACACGTTTCAATGATCTCAAACCTAGGGGGAGGTTAACAAAGCTTGGGAAGAAGGATGAACTACTGAGAGTGGACACAAAGATGCAGAATTTACAGGCCACAAGAACATTTGGCAGAACTCCGAAGATAAGGAAGAAACTCATAAAGCCAACTCAGCAACTGTGCTGAATCAGCTCCCACTGGGTAAAAGATAATTCTGGCAGGGGGAAATCGTGACCACTAACTCACGGACCACTTACCCAAGAAACCCCCCGACTCAAGAGAACGACCGAGCACGCAGACTAATCAGGATGAGAAGTGAGAGAGTCATTAACCAACAGAAGATAGAATACTAATAAGAGAACTATGTAACTTGTAGCCAATGGACACTAATTCCTGTGTTTGCTAAAATGTATAAATAGTGAAAAGTTTTGATAGTTGTGTGCTAGCTTTGTGGATTTGCCACCCAGCGCCCCTTTCTAAGCAGATTTGTAAATTAACACCTTGACTCTGTGTGGGGATTTGCCTCTTGCACAGGTGACAGAACATATTTTGGCAACACAAGCTGGAGCAGTGCATAAGCCCTTCTCTTGGAGTTTCTGTTACATGGGAAGTAGGTGGCACTAAGATTCTAGTGGAAAAAGTTCTCTCTTCCTCTAACTTAAATGTTTACATGAAGCAGTAACAAAAAGGCTGTTTGTAATTACTGAAAAAGAAAAATAGGTAAAGCATCAGCTTTTTGGTGGATGACAAATTGACCATGAGCTGGCAGCGTGCCCTTGTGGCCAGGAGGACCAATGGTATCCTGGGGTGCACTGGGAAGAGTGTAGCCAGCAGGTTGAGGGAGGTGATCCTGCCCCTTGACCCTAGTGAGGCCACACCTGTGGCCAGTTCTGGTCTCAGTACAAGAGAGAGAAAGAACTATTAGAGAGGGTCCAGCAAAGAGCCACAAAGATGATTAGGGGTTAGGAGCATCTCTCTTATGAGGAAAGGCTGTGGGAGCTGGGCCTTTTTAGTCTAGAGAAAAGAAGACTGAAAGGGGATCTCATTAATGCATGTAAATGTCTCAAAGGTAGATGCCAAGAGGATGATGCCAGACTCTTTTTGGCAGTGCCAAGTAACAGGACGAGGCGCAATGGCCGTAAACTAACAAAAGTTCCACCTCAGCATGAGGAAGAACTTTACATTGAGGGTGTCAGAGCACTGGAACAGGCTGCCCTTGGAGGTCATGGACTCTCCCTGTCTGGAGACATTCAAAACCCACCTGGACTCATTCCTGTGTCACTTGCTCTAGCTGACCCTGCCTTGATGGGTGAAGGTGAGATCTGGATGATCTCCAGAGGTCCCTTCCAACCCTAACGATTGTGTGGTTCTTTGATTCTGTGATTCTATCTCTTTTTGCTTTTAAAGCAGTCAAGTAATTTCATAGTCATAGCAAGCTATAATTAAATAGCTGTGGTTTGATAGGTCTTGGTGGCAGGGAAAGGGCTAACAGTCTGAAAGGGTGGTCCTTCAGAAAGTAGTGGCAAAACTGTAGCGGAGGGGTGAGCAAGTAACATAATTCTGAATATATGTGTATGTACATACTGTAGGCTTCACTGAGGCCTTACCATATTAGAAGACCAGAATAAATCTGTTTACTGGGCAGGAGCGTAACTGGTTGTGGAAAAACATCATGACTGATAGGTAAAGGAAGAGAAGCTAATAAAGGGGTGTGTGTGTTTCCGAAAAAAACCCAAAAAATAAATCTGGGGTCATACATGAGTACAACGATACATTTTCTGATAACCTGTCTAGCAAGATTTCAAAATATTGAGAAATACTTTGCCAAGGGCATGAAATATGTGTTTGCAAGCTTGTGAGGAAAAATATATCTTACTGAAGTCTTGGGCTTAGCATGCAACAATTAAAAATACCCTTTGTTTCAAAATCTGCCTTTCATTTGAATTTAACTTTCTAATATAAGCAACTTGATTTTAGCTCATGCATGTTCTTCTGATAAAGTCTTTATCTCAGAAATTTTGTCAGGTCCTAAAAAATATTTTCTCTTACACCATTTCCTGAGTCATGCTCTGAGCCTCTGATGCTCTCATTGTTTCAGAGTACATTTGCAATGGAAGTTATTTTCAGATCCTATGTAATTAATTAAGACTAGTTAACACATTTCTTTGTTATTGCTACACACCTAGGTGCCTATAGGCCTGATATCACCCCCCTCCCCTGAATAGTAGGGGAGATTTTTTCCTTGCCTTAGTGAACTCTTATTCTCTGATATGTAAGCTTAATTTAAGAGATTACATAATTATTTTGCATGGTCAGGTATCCAGTTGTCCTTCTCTCTCCAATTATCCTGCTAGGACTGTCTGTTCACTTTCTTTGCATCCTTAGTGTTGCCAGCTTCTAAGAGACACTGCTTTACAGTGCTCCTGAAGGTAGCAACGATGGGCTCTACCTTGCTAAAATCTTTACTAGCTACCTTGATCTCGAGATGGTCAATTGTTTCTGAGGATTTTTACTCTAGTGTACACTTGCTACCTGCTACCTTGACATGGTTGGAATGGAGCATGCCCAAATGGATGGTACAGCAAGAATTGCTAGTTTGGGTTATCCCTGTTTTTCTTGGCAGAAAGGCATCATTCAGCTTTCAGGCTTCCCATATCTGACTCCATTTTTAGATATACTCTGTAGATATGACCCTACCATATATTTTTTGTCCTGCCATAGTCCATTGAGATCTTTCACACAAGTTCTGTTGGTTTCCACAACTTGAAAATACTTTTTTTTTCATCACTACATAAACACTCTTAAAATTCACTTAATAGGATCCTCCATATTGCATATTCTCCAGGAGGTCACAGAATATGTGGTGTACTGCTCTGCACTCAGTAGAACTTGCCCTTTGTCCTGCTGCCTCTAAATTCTGAACAACTTGTCTGTTGCCTTTTTAGAAAACTTGGCAATGTTATCAAGTATTTCTATTAGACAGACAAATTGCCTGTCTTTTGTGAGCATATTCAATTCTGACTCTCCTTGTTAGTATGCTAATGCCTACGGTATGATTTTTCCAAGTCATTCTTCAGATTTTCCTTTCTAATTAGAAGCAGATGGAAAATGCTCTATATGCACTTAATGTTGTTGCTAACAATTACTAATTAAGATTTTGCTAATTAAAAACAAATCTTAATTACTTACTAGTGTTCATTGAGTAGCATGACTAGAGATTTCCTAAAATCTGACAGTTATAGCATTTAAAATCCCAGTATCTTTCTCTTGCTTCTGGAAACAGTCTTTCTGTGATAATTTTTTCCTTTTATTTTCTTAATGGCCCTTTCTGTTAAGTATTAATTCATTTACTCTCATGATGGTGATCTAATTCTTATACAGCTGGCTTTTGTGCTTTTTTTTTAAGCCTGTGTTTAAGTGACTCTGAATTTAAACTTGGTGTACTGCAATAGTAACCAAGCTACATTGAATTTTACCTGAGGAGGGCCACCTCAACTTCAGCTGAATCCAGTCTTTTAACAAGGTAGATGTTCCTTCAGATTCACTCCTTTTTAGTTGGAAGAACAAAGGGTCCTGCCCAAAGCTGGGACCTATGAAGGAAAATTACTAAAATGGATGCTGACATGCAGGAAAGACTCTGAGAAGAAAACAAAAAGGTTGCA